TTTTTCATGACCTCAGTATATATTATATACAGCGCTTATTTATAGTTATTTTTAAATACAAATATTTTGAAACATGTTTCAAATATGTATAAATATGTAGGAAAAAAACCCCGTCCCAATAAACTTTATACTTTCTTTTAAAAAAATTTGCAAAAATAGCATAAAAATTTGGTCTCTATAGACTATTATAGAAGAAAGATCCCCTAAGGACGCTGCTATGGTCGCCATTTTGAAGTTTTCCAAAAACGCCATATGACATTCGATTCTACATAAATTAAATTAAATTTTGAATACTCGTAAGGGAAGGGGTGACGCAAATAGTGACGGATTTTTTTATCTCTCCCCTACAAGCTAATTTCAAGTTTATAAGATACGATTTTTCACTAAAAAAATACTTTCCATTTTTAAATATACAAAAACTTAAAGTTTCCTTAAGTCATGCATGTATACGGGCTAGATTTTCATAAAAACTAAAACCTACATTTATGACTATTTGCCCCACTCTACGGGTAAATAGTAACACCCTATGGGACAATTACAAAATATATTTTTCTTAACACCTAATTGATCTTTCTTTTGACATTTTGATTAGATAAGGTAATTTATATTAATTTCTATACTCTGCCATTTATATATTTTTATTTATTGATAAATAATAGATATTAACATTATTTGCTAGTATTTCTTATTGAAAATCACATTTATTCTGAATCTTGCCTTGTGGCTAATTTCATATTATCCCAAATTAGAAAAATCATATTGAAATATTAAAAAAGCTTTTTGATTTGTCATTATTTGCCTCAGGAGTAACTTTTTTCTTTAAAACTTTACTGAGAGAAATAAAATTAAGATATAAGCATAGAAATTATATCAAAACAGAGGAAAACGGTACCGTATGACATAAAATAGGATAGATCTCATTCAATAATTCAGCAATTAAGAAAATGTAACTTCAAATATCAAAAAAAGATCCAGGTTTTACCTTATTTCACGAATGTAAAATTTGAAACTTTTTCGCTAGCTATATTTAGCTTTTGATTTTTACTGCTTTTTCAGAAAATAGATGCTTGAGAACTGTCTTTCTATTAACGAGTAGTGATAAAATAGACGCGAAAATGAGAAGAAATTTAAAGTGACATTATTTGCCCTTTACCATTATTTGCCCCCATCCCTTACGTTTAAAAAGGATCAAACCAATTATGGGCAGAGCCATTTGCGTTTTCGTATGGAATAACTCATATATATAATATGAATAATAATACTATTAAAATAAATGCTTTTGCATTAAAGATATTTTACTTAAAAGATTAATTTTTCTATTTTTGTATAAATATTTATTTACTTTTGTCTTCATAAAATACATTTATAAAAATCTTTTTGTATAATTTATTAAATGTTTTTTTACGTACATATATTTTTGATAGATACTTCATTTACTAAAACATAACGCTATATTAACTGTTCAGACATTTATCTATTAAATAAATAGTTTATTCGAAGATGAAACGACTGTAAATGATGAGTACTTTTTAATAATATTTTGTGCATTATATAATTTAAAATATTTGTAAATATTTCAATTATTTCTTTAACTTAATATAAAGTATACAAAATTTTATGTAAATTGCTCTAATGTATACATCTTATTTTTTATTTTTAACATATTAATTAATATATAATATTGTTTATTATGTTATATAGCTTTGCAGCAGATTCTACATTTTTTGTTTTAAACTGCACGAGTCAGAAATATATACCATATGGAGATAGTTTAAAGTTATCATTTAATATTTTAAAGGAAGAGCCTATAGGCAAAATTTTCTGGACTCCTAGAACATTATTGACTGATAACTATACTCTGTTATACATATTAACAATATTATTGCATATTATGCCAGCTATGTTCATAGATCTTATTTTAAAATTCTTTGGGCATCGACCTATGTAAGTCTTAAGTAAACTATTTAATTGATTCAACAAATGCAAATTATTTTAACATATATATTGTATATGTATTTGACTCAATTAACAAGATTTATACATATATTCCGCAAGCTGAAATAACGTAGGTATTTTCTTTTTAGTAAAAACCTTTTTTTTATCATAAATCTGTCTGAAAGATTATTTTGCGTGTGATCTTTCTCTTTATTTATTAGATTTTATCCAAATCTATTTTATTTTACATGCGGATTCTGAATCTACAGATTGAGTAATATTAAACTGTGTCGTTATAACCAAATTATTTTATATTAATGAATAACATGTAAATTTAGGATAGTACGACTGTTGAGAAAAGTGTACGTGACCAATCGTGCTGTGAGTTATTTTTCATTCCATAAAAGAGAATACAGCAATACAAACTCGTTAGCACTGATATCTGAAATACCATCTGACAATCTTGATATGTTTTCTTTTAATTATTCCTGTACTGATATTCGAAAGTATTTAAAGTAAGTGTATTTTTTATTTTAAATAATGTTTACAATAAAGAAAATATAAAGTAATAAACAAATTTTGCATTATAAAGGACTAGTTTATGTGGTATTAAAAAATTTATTCTTCATGAAGACATAAATGAATTGGATGCAATCAAGGCACATAATAAAAGGTATAAGTAGTTTATAATTAGTATTTATTATTGTTTATACATACGTTAGCATATTTGTGTGATTTAAAAAAAAATCGGCTTTTCTCTGTAAATAATACATCTTTACTGGATTTAGCGAACAATTTGCGAACAGACCGCTAATTGTTTTATTTGTGGTGTAGATGTTCGTGAACAGCTTGTAAATTGAAATAAGAAAAGATTCTGAAGCCTAGTGTATACAGGCTGTAACTGTAAACGTTTGCTGGAATCATTAAAGTTTAACATTAGGATTGTAATGCTTTTGTTCAATATGTTATTATAAACGATTGCACTCAAATTCTAGTGTTAAACTTTATCTGTTCCGTCAAAAATTACCGACCTGCATGAATTAAATTTTTTTGGTTAAAACGGATTTTAATGCCTAATAATATTTCTTTGTAAATTTTAAAATTATTTGAATATATTTCTAGATTTATGAACTACACGCCGATAATTGTTGAACTTGAAACACAATTCTAAACTTAAAACAAAAAATTTATTGTAAAAAATATCATTCCATCGGGTAAAATTTATATATGCAGTAAATATTGTTAGGTTATAAAAAAGTGTTTTTTTTTGCTTACTTGTGTTAGTCACATATCGGTTTATTTCCACTTATTAGATGTACGAATTGGCTTGCAAATTATTAATAACCAGTATTAACGATCAATTTATTATAATTACTTTAGTTATTGTTCATAAACAAATTTCGTTACAAGTTTATTCTAGTAAATGTCATAAATCTGAAGTAAAAACTAGAGTAGGTAGCATTTAATTTTCACAAATATTTGGAAATCAATCAAATTTTTTACATGCCAAAATTGTTTGTGAATTGTTCTTCGGTAAATATCTACCTAAGACAATATATAATAATAAGAATTAAACCTCTCATTACTTTTCAAAACTGATGCATAAAACAAATCTAACGTGTATAAAAATATCAATAGAATTTATACATTATAATTTTGGTAATCATACTTCAGATAAATATGTTTATGATAAATAAACTTTAAAATCTTTATTACAAGTTTAATTTTATTATATTTTTATTATACTAAATATCTTTGAAATAGAATAAAACATTTTTAATGATTAAATATTAATTAATTAATTAATATTATTAAATATTTATTAAACTTATAGAAATGTTAATAATAAATTTGTATGATGTATGTGTGTCGATGTGTATTATATGACGTAAATAATTTAGAAAATGTTAAGAAAAGAACAAAGTCCTTGAAATAAAAGCTTCAGTGTATATTAAATAACAAAAAAAATTTATATAATGTGTTTAATGTGTTTGTGTTTAAAAGACAGTATTGTGTAGTAATTAAGATATATTATATATTATATAATAATATATTAATCATTTATTTTTAGAGTATCACTGTTGAGTACTGTGGTGGAATCTATTATGTTTATTGGTATGCTGTGGATGATATATAAATGGAGCTATTCTTACTTATTATAAAATTATTGACTATTCTTTTATACATTAAAAACTTATTTATAATATTCAAACACATATAACGCAGAGCTTTCAGAAAAAAGGAAATAATTTTTTCTTAAAATATATTTTTGTTTGTAAACATTATATTGTATTTATAAAATAACGGGAATTTTTTAAGGTTTATGTTATACATATGTATGTATATTTAAGAGGTATCAAATAAAGCACAATTTGCATAGAAATAGAACAATAAATATATATTTCTAATGTTTAATAAAAAAGACAACTTGTAGCATAAAAAGCGTATATTTATTTCCGCGCTTATATGTATAATAAATATATCTAAAATAGATGAGCAACACGCAATGATCACAGGTGACAGTAAAATTAAAATTTCAGTCAAGATGACATCATCTCTCGACTATATCGAAATCGACTGTTACTTGGACAGTGTTATGATCAAAAGATCTAAACTCACAATTAATCTATGCAACATATAAAGATAGAAAATCGTACCCTTTGAATTTTTAAGAATATTATTATTTAAATTAAATTTATATTTTTCCCGTATTTAAATCCTATTAGACTCATTTACGATTTTTTCTGTATTTTTTTTAAAAACAAAGTGCTGTAATTTTTATGTTTTGTATCTTTTGCAATGAATAAGAATCAAGTAATTTTATATAAATTTTATATAGATTTGTCATTTTAAATCCGTTACTAAATAAAATTTTCATTTATTTGTTGTTTTTTATTTATTCTTTATCCAGCTATAATAAATACATTATTTTTGGTAAATCTTTATATTAGGAGATGCAGCTCTCACTCATGCTCATGACCTAGACCTTGACATATGTTATAGAAGTGAACTGATCAATTTTTCCTTATAAATTAATCGGCGGTCTTGTATAGCTTTTGAGATATACTTAAAACTCATTTTTTTAATTTCATTATTTTATAATACCTTGTATATAAACCTATGTAAATCAGTACAATTGTGCCTTGTTGCGTCTTTTATAAGCACGAGGGAGAGGCGGGGATGGCAAATGTGGGGTAGATACTTCGCATGGAAAGTCGAAAACTCATGTAGATCAGTACATTATAGATCTCATTACGCTCCGTAAGCAGGAGGGGGGGAATGGTATAGACCTCGTTTTGCGTAGAAAGTCGAAAACCTATGTGAATCAGTATTATAGACCTCGTAAACAGGGAGGGAAGGGGGGTGGGCCTCGATTTGCGTGTGGAAAATATAAGTTAATATTAACAAATATTAACTTATTTTATAATATACAGTATACTTTAATCTGATAATGAATACAACTGAGCCGTATCAAAAAAAGCATTACGCTCATGAAAACTCTCTTTTAAACATATTAAATTCAGCTAAATAACTTAGAAAATGTTCTTTACCACCAAATCGCAAGACATTGTTTTGTACTTCTCGCCACACTCGCTCAATATACATCATATACAAAGGGTCTTAAAAAAAATAATGAAATTTAGAAAATAAGTTCTAAGTAAGCATATCTTAAAAACTACACGAGACCGCGTCAATTATTTTATAAGAAAAAGTTGTACTATCCTCTATATTTAACATATGTTAAGGTTGAAGTTATCGGATCCCCTGCATCTCTTAATGTAATAAAATCCCTTATTTTTTATTTCTTACCGATCAAGAGACATAATGGTGACTTGAGCCAAATTAACGAAGTACTTAAGAAATTAATTAAGTTTCAAACCAAGTACACCAAGGTGTCCGGATTGCGAGTTGGAAGAAGTCTTGACTCACATAGCACAACAGTGCTTTTAAGCGTCTGCAAAACGCTCAGAAAGCACTTTAGAGTGCTTTTTTAAGTCTTTTCTTCTTAAATCTCAATAAAACTCGATCGGTTTAGCTATTTTTGAGATCCGATAATTTTGGGTATTCGCTGACTAGACCTCATTCGATTTCAACCTCATACCATTCAGTTTATCGACCAAATGAAAATTGTTTTTTTACATAACTAGAAGATTTTCTAGGAATGCTATCCTGTATAATATTATGTAGAAAACAAACTAATAAATACAACGAACTATTAATGGAAGAAATAATAATTTTAAAGGGATGGCCTTTTTTATGTATCTTTGGGAGACCATAAGCTCTGGGTAAAATATACCGTCAGTGGTTAAAATATTTCTATATGTATGTATAAACATCAATATTACCTTTGCTCTCCCAACGAGACAATAAACCGCTCAAATCATTAGTAACCTTTTTTAGTTAGACTGTAAAACACATCAACCTACATTAACTCGATTTAAGAAAGGAATTACATAGAATTCATAAGAATTTAGTTAACAAAGTTTTACGCTTGAAACTAAAAGATGTGTATACACAACAACATTAAACAATACATCAAATTTATAGAGTCTCTAAAGACATATACGTAATTACCACTCAATATTGTAAATTCTTTTTTTAACTATCATGGAAATTTGTCTGCTGAATGTACCAATTGTATACATCAGGATGCATAAATATATTAGACAGAATAACAGCTGGTTGCGCGGCAGACTTGCAGGAGCAGACGCAGCTCAATAAGTAATGAGTATTTAGTATTTTTTTATTTTAGTTTTCAGTATTACTTAAATTTTTAGTATTACTGACCCGCGTTTGCCTCTGTAAAGTGCCGCGTCATACTGCTTATATGCATACTTTCCATTCCAAGTAGAAATTATATGCGCACAATGAGCTGACATGATTTATAATTCTTGAATTAGTAATTTCTTCTATGATGTATAGGTTTGCTCTTTCAACCTTTTTGTTGCATTTCCTATTTCTTAAGCCCCATCTACATAAGTCGCAAATGCAAAACGCAAACGCAAACGCGGAAAAAAAAAGAACGAAATGTCAAAAAATAAAAGAAAAGAAAGAGAGAAACGTCCGAATTGTCGAACAATTTAATTCGTTAAAGTAATAATTTTAATGTTAATAAGCATCTATTAAGAATCTTCTCTCTCCCAAATCTGTAAAGAATTTATTGCGAAAAATATCTAAGATTCTTAATAGATGCTTATTAGCGTCGAAATTATTAAATTGTTCGATAATTTAATTCGTTACAGTAGATTCTGGCCTCATGTAAGAACTGTGTTTCAAGACCGACAGTTTATGCGGCACACAGTTTGTACGTGGCTTGATATTGTAACAGTAAAAATTATTACACACCAACATCCGTGTCGGCTTGCAAAGGCATTATTGGCTATTTATGATTATTCATTATACAAGCTTTAATTTTTTCAAGTTAACTAATTAAATGTTAAAAGATAAAATTTGTGTATTTGAAAATTTTATCAACTACTGGTGGGATGGCGG